GTTGTCTTCCCCTACCTCTCTTTGCCCCCCCCCCCCCCCAGATAGAACACACACAACCAGCTCAGGCCAGAAGAAAAGTGATGAGGAAATGAACCCATTCAAGATAAGTTTTCCTCATCTCATTCCTCCAGATAGTCTGGTCGAACATCAGGTAAAGTCATCAGGCCTTCTTGCCACTGGCCAGGTTACTCCTCACTCCTTTCACCTGCTTGTTCTGTACAACTCCACTTGTGCTTACACCCCTGCTCTGACCTGCTGTCCATCATTTTCCTTCCTAACATCTAGTCAGAGAACCTTTTCATTACTGCCTCTTTTGCTGTCCCCTATGCTGAAGAAGCCTCTCTTCCTTCAGAGGGCAGCTGGAAATCCTCCTCAAATCACACTCATTCAGAAGTTCTCTGCAAATTTCTGGCAGCAGTACTTGAACTTGCCTCCCCCAGTGGTCAGTGAGTGACATCCTCCATCTCAGCTGACAGAAACCATTCCTCAGTATTCAGGCAAAATGGTGTCTCCTCTCTGCCTGTAGTTCAGTACTCTCTCTCTCTCTTATCACTAGCTAGCAGAACTGCTTCTGTTCCACCTCAAAGTGTGCATATCTAATTAAATTTAGTTTTAGAGATGCAAAAGTCAGAGAAAGGGTGAGTGAGGTAAGTTGGCAAGGGTCTGAGAAACTGGTTGAGCAGAGATATCTTCAATCTGCTAGTAAAAGTCAAGATGCTTAAGTTTCTGGTGACATAGTCAAGAACTTTAGACACAGAAGCAGTCATTTACAATGCACACACTTATATTCCCACCAGTTCAGGTCTTACCTGAAGAATTCCAATCACTTTTTTGGCTACAAAAGGACCAAAATGAGATGCCTTAGATAAGCTGACTCCTTTGTAGTCTGCCAGGATTACAATTCCATTCACCTGGGTCTCTTCGGACTGAATGAGTTTTTCTAACGTTAAGTATATGGCACGAATGTTCTCAGTAATCGGGTAATGACTGGGTGTCCATCTGTCTGAGGTTACAAGACATGGATGGTAAGTCGGAGAGTAAATATAAACTAACAATACACATGCCAAAAACTGATCTTCTATTTTCCCAGACTCTTAAAAGTTAAGTCTTTAATAGCCACAGTCTTAGTTCAGGGCAGCCTTTCTTAAGCATGAGATGAATGACAACTCGTGTTTAGTTTAAGAAGCAAATGCAATGGTTTTAGGAACCCCGTTCTCCACCCAGCACAGCTTATTAGAAGCAGTTTCAGGTCACAAACAAAGCAGATAAATGGAAAGGAGGAGAATGATTGAAGAGAAATTTACAGCAAGCCTGGCAGCACCAAAAGCACAGGGAAGGCTCTGATTGTTTACATGGGAGTCAAAGCCATAGGCTCCTCTCTCCACTTCTTGTCAAAGCAAATTACAAGCCTCTCACCATAGGCCAGTAGTACTGTTTCAACTTGAGTTACTACACATCAGTTTCTCTTGAGTCACCTAATATTTCATCAACCCACCTCACTGCATTTTCATTTTGACACAACTGCAGTTATTGCTGACACAGGAAAAGGAACCAGTGTAACGCTAACGACAGACGTGTCTGCTCATAAGTTAGCTCTTCAAATTTCAAAGAGAACCCTGGCACTTTGTGTATGTAACCATAATTCACAGGAGAGCAGAAAAGAGATTTTTGGCCCACACACCTTGAAGATGGAGAACAAAGAGATTCATGCATGTCAGTACCTGGACGGATGCAGACAACGTGACGTCCCTCTGGGTCCAGACGAGGCAGCACAGTGACAAAACCAGACTCTAGGACAGGCTTTATTGCAGATGGCTTCAAGTTATTGAAGACCTCAGGCCAGGTCCTCCTACAGGTGTGGTAGTTCACCAGAAGCTGAAGGGCTCGATCGTAATCAAATTTCCTGGCTCTGAGGAATCTTAGCAAAAAAGCATCGTCCAGGCAGGTCCCCAGGGAGGGATAGTCTTTGCACACCATGTCTCGGAGTGCCTGCACGTCACGGAGCCTCCATTCAGGTTTCTCCTGGAGCTCTTCCCGGGCTTTGGTGATGAGATCAGGAGACAGTGAACAAACATACTTGGGCCGATCTGGTAAGAACTCATTGTCCGATGGAGACCCCGCTGATGGACTTGTCCTGGTGCAGTCGCTGTCCCCTGACATAGTGTGGCAGGAATCTGTCAAAGACCAAGTGACACACGTGACAAACCATCCCATGGACTAGCAAGCATATATGTTATGTCCTGTATCCCTCCATTTCCCTGCTGACACAACTGCCCTTCCCAGAATCAGCACTGCAGCCAGAAGGGCAGTTTAGACATGTTAATTCTCTTCCTAGGATTAGAAAGTGCACATTACTCTTTAAGTTCTTTTTCCTGCATAGCAGGTGGAAAACAACCTTGGATGAAACCTAACCAAATAAAAATAAATACACAAATTAGAATTGCACAGCTTCCTTACAAAATACAGAATTTAATTTGCCTTCATTGTTTCTTATGTCCAACTGGAAACTGAAGCAAAGTAAATGCATCCTAGCTAGGCAGGATTCTCACATTTGGTCAAATGATACCCTCTTAGGAGACACTTTCCTAGATGAGCCCAGACAGTGGGAGTTTTCTTTAACTTCTCTGGCAAAGATGCACATCAATCAGCACGTCGAGGGGAACGTTTTGAGCAATTCAGGAGGAACAGCATTCAGGAATACAAGAAACGGCTGCAGTTCACAGACTGGATGAACAGGTGAGAACATTGCAGGCTCTCATGCCAGCCCTGATGGGTATTAAGGTAGGCTTAATGTAGCTTTCAGTGTGCTGCCAACCCTTCTGAACCGGGAGCTGAATTTCCAAATCCAGTGGCAAGTGGAGAGAGATGAGTGAAAAATTACAAAATTATTAATTTTGCCTCCTCCCTGTAGCTTGGCCTGGCACTGTACCGTGCCCGGGTGTCACACAGGAGCCACCTGTCACAATAAAGCCTGTCCCAGGTCAGCACTTTCCCTCTGGCCACTCGGTTGCTTCTCCTGCACCTTTCCCAGTCTCCTTAGGGAAGGTCCTGGGATGCAGTGGCCTGTGTCACCTCCCCACGGCCTGGGCTGTGCAGGACGTGCAGAGGCAGGGTCTGGCGGAGGAGCTGGCACCCGGGAGGCAGCACCACCCCCTGCCTTCCCCAGGGCCGGGGGGCCCAGCCCCGCTGCCCTCCCGGTGGGCACAGGGGAGAGGAGCCCCCCGCAGCCTCAGCTCCAGCTCAGCCCCACCAGCTCCACTCCACGCCCAGGGAATTGCGGCTGGGCAGGTTGGATGGGGCTTGGAGCAGCCTGGGCTGGTGGGAGGTGTCCCTGCCCATGCAGGGGTTGGATATAGATGATCTTTAAGATCCCATCCAACCCAATCCAGTCCATAATTAACCCTCCCCGCACATCCCGCAGCCCCTCAGCTCCAGTACACTCACCCCACGGCCCTCACCCCGGTCCCGCCCGGCTCCTCCGTCTCCAGGCAGCGGCGCCCCGGAACTTCAGCGGCCGCCCGGGAA